AATTTTATAAACTTCAAAAAAAAAAAAAAAAAAGAAAACACAGATAATATAAAATTTATTAAAAATGAATTAAACTATTATACTTTTAATTTATTTTTATTAATAATTTTTTTATGTTATTTGTTTTTATCTACAGCATTTTATATATAAAATTATTAATTAATACCTTTTATAATAATTTGTTATTATTAATGTAATATAAATATTTATCATTGTTTATCAACTACTTTTCTTATATATTTATTTTCTTCCTAATAATACTATTTCATATTATTGCAAATTTAATATAAAAATAGATTAAATTTCATGTGTATATATGTTGTTTACTTCCTTTTAATTATCTCATAATTTTACTTTTAACTAATATCTTTGTTATATAAATAAAAGTTCATTACTTAATAGAACTGATTAATGCAAATAAAAAAAAACATTTTTAAGAAAATATTAAAATGTAATAATTTTTTTGTAGTAACTTATTATTATATACCAAAAAAATAAAAGAAACTAATTAAATATTTATTTAAAAAGACAAAAAACTTTATATAATTAAAAAAAAAATATCATTAAATTATAAATGTTTAATCTAATTATTAATTTATGTAATGAAAAAAATAGGAAACTAAAATAAACAATATTTCTCAATTGTTTGTTCTTTCTCTATATATTTATACATTTTGGTAAAATTCAGCTTATATAAAAAAATATGTAAAATTATACTACTACTAAAATCTCACAATTACATATTTTAAAATAGTTAATTTATATTAAATATAAATGATATTAGAAAAAAAAAAAAAAAAAAAAAAAAAAATACATATTTCTTTATAATGATATATGTACATTAATTATTTATAAAGTTTTTATTTAACTAAAGGTTGTTAAACATACTATGAAAAAATATAAATATTTTTAAATTTAAAAAAAAAAAAAATAACCTATTTAATGTTTTCCCAAAATAAAATATTTATATGATTTTTTTTAAATAAATATTAAAATATATTTTTAAAAGCTTGTTAAAAAAAAAGAAAAAGAAAATATGTGCATTCTTAATAATTAATAATTAAAAAAAAAAAAAAGGAAAATAAAGACTTTTTTAATTTTATAAAAAAGAAGGAGTTATACATGTAATAATAAAAAAAAAGGAAATTTTAACTACAAAGAAAAGAATTAGTATAGCATTTTAAAAATTTTTGTTTAAAAAATATTGAAGTAAAAACAATACATAAATAGATTCAGTATTTTTTTTTTTTTTTTTTTGAAATATATTTCCACTGATAATATGGCACTTATTTGTATTGGTTCTGTATGTTTTTCATTATTTCATATTGGAATAATTATATTATTCATAATAAATTATTTTTCATCTCATTTAAAAAAATTATTTTATCACTTTTTTCCAAATAATAATGGTAATTTTAATTAAGATAAAAAAATTTTTTTTTTTTTATTTTGAATTTCAATTTTTATTTCACATTTTTTTTCTTTACCTAATTCTAGAACTAGACAGCGAAATTAAAAGTATTTTACAGTTAAAAAAAAAAAATAAAGAGGTATAAAATAAAAGTGACAATAATGATAAAAAAAAAAAAAATAAATTAAAATTATGAAAAATTTACAAAGTATATGATTGTTTTATTTTATTAAGTATGAAGAAAGTAGGTATATTGAATTACAAAAAAACGAATGTTTAAAAGAGATATTTTCATCAACTAAAAATTTATCAGTAGTTTTAAAATTTAGTAGTATGTGGTGTAAACCTTGTAATAATGTAAAAGAATATTTTAAGGTAACCTTTAAAAAAAAAATATTAATGAAACTTTCTAATTTTTTTTAATAAATTTTCTATAATTATTGTTTCATAGAGTCAAACGGATTTTTTTGATGTAACACTTGTTAGCATTGATGTTGATATTCATAAAAAGCTTATGGAATCACATAAAATAAGAGCACTACCAACTTTTGAATTTTATTTTTTATTAAAAAATGAATGGATAATAACTTGCCGAGTATTTTATTTTACTTTTTTCATTAAAAAATGATTTTAGAAAAAATATTAATTTTCACTTAAAGATATGCAATTATGAATTATCTTAAAAATATTTCTTTTTTTTTTTTTTTTTTTCTTATGTAGATTGAAGGAGGAAATAAAAATGAAATAGAAAAAGCTTTCCAAAAATACTGTTTACCAAAAGAATAAAAAAGGAAAAAATAAAATAGTACATCTCTCATGTATATTTTTTATAGTAATTATTATTTATATATATGTTTTTTTTTTTTTTTTTTTATTTTGTCATCCCATTAATTTCTTTTTGTAATATGTTATTTACATTTTTTATAAATTTTATGTTTTATGTTATGGTACTATGCTTTTTTTCTCACTAAACTTTTTATTTTATTTTATTTTTTTTTTTTTTTTTTCCTATATTCATTTATGAAATTTAAAAATAGTTAAATACATTTGTATATATTTGAAAATAAGTATTATATATATATATATATATTTATATATATATATATTTTTTTTCATGAATAAAATTTTTGTTTTAATATTAAACAGATGTTTTATAAGAATTTTTTTAATTTTTTTTTTTTAAATATTTATTTAATACAAGAATGAAAATAGTACATTTAATAACCTAGCGAATATACTTATTTCCATATACTTCTATTTTTACACTAGTACGATTTTAACCTTTTTTTTTTTTTTCTTTTTGTTTTTTTTGTTAAATAAAAAAAAAAAGAGAAAAGAAGATGAATGGATAATAAAATGCTTATGAACCAGAAAGAAAATGATTTAAAAAAAAAATTCATATTAGAAATTTTATTACTTATATTATTATATTCTCAGTACTCATTTCAATTCATTTATTCTTTTTCTATTAAAAAAAAACCGTTCGTTCTAAATGCTATAGCAGAAAATGATGGTGTAAGTTAATTTTTATAAAATATTCATAGTACTGTTTTATGAATTAATAAAGTTTTTTTTCTGCCAATGTATTTTATTATGTTTTTCCTATTTATTATAATTCATGTTTTCCATTTCAATTTTATAGATAAAAAAGAGCAAATTAAGAGAAAACAAAAAAATTCTTTTAGAAATTGGTAATAGTTTAAAAGAACAGAATGTCAAGAAATCTCTTGCAAATCTAGATGATTTATTAAACTGTTCAAAAGATAAAAAATTATCAAAGAAAATGAGTACTATATGTGGTAATGTATTAAATTTATGCAGTAAATTTAATGATATTAGTAATATGATAAAGATTATTGAGAAAATGAAAATTCATAATGTAGAAATGCAAGAAAACTCATATTTGGCTATTTGTAATTATTATATTTCAAATAATTACATATATGAATATTTATTAACAATAAATAAAATGATAGAAAAGAAAATAACTATAAGAGAGAGGTTTTATAAGTACATATTGACAAATATTTTAGACCTTTCATTCGACCAAAGTTACTATAAAAATATAATAAATAATGAAACAAATCAGAAAAAAGAAAGTTTAGTAAATTTGAAAAATTGTGCTGTAGGAACTTATAAAATAGAAAAGAAAGATAATAATAATGATTATTTAAATGTTAATAATAAAAGGGATATATTAATAAAAAACATTGATTACACTCATTTTGAAGACTATAAAAAAAAATTAAACAAATATGATATTGTACTAGAAGAGGCAGATAAATTATATGTTTTGAATAATTATTTATTGATTGATATATTTAAACACATGAATGATAATAAAATTAAAATTAAACTAATTTATATTTTAAAACTCATTAATTATGTTTATGAAAACATATTATATATAATGAATAAAAAGTCAAATGATGACGTTTTAAAGGATACTTTAATCATAAATAATGAAAATAGAGAAATTAAAAAGAAAAAAAATAATAACAAAGAAGAGTATGAAAAAAGAAAAAACTTCTTTAAAGATATCTTAATTGAACAGTTAAGATATATTCTTGAATTATATAAAAGTAATTATGAATCTATGAATATAAATATAAAAAAATATGAAGAAAATGTTGATGAAGAAGAGAGAAGAAGCATTTATTACTATGTTAACAAAATAACAAAAAAATTACCTTTTATAAAATTAACTGAAAATATTAAAAATTCTTATAACTGTAAAAATTGTGAAGAAAATATTAACACATACTTCCTTTCATTAAAACATATTATAATTGTAATTGTTAATATTATTTTAATTACTCATCTTTTCAATAATAAAGAAATTTTTAAGATAAAACATTTTTTTTCTATATTAAATGGGTTTAATAATATCAATGAAGAAAAAGAGGAAAAAAATGAGTTAGAAAAATATGAAGCAAAAAAGGATGAGCTATCAGAGGCATTAAATGAAAAAAAAATAAATAGAAAAAATGAAGAGGAAGAAAATAAATGTGAAAATAAAGAAAAAAAAAAAAATCATGAAAATATAGAATCAGATGAAAACAACTATAATGATATGAAAAAAGTTTATGAATTATATGAAAATAAAAATAATTTTTTAAATAATAATGAAATGAATAACCTTTTTGAAAAAGGTTCATATACATGCATATTAGATGGTGCTAATATTGGTTATAATAAACAAAATGTAGAAAACGGATGCTTTAGTTTTTTACAAATTGAAATAATAAAGGAAATTTTAAAAAAAAAAAAAAATGAAAATCCTTTGATTATTCTTCCAAAAATATATCATTATAAAAATTCATTAAAATATATAGAAGGAAATGAAAAAAAAAATGAGAAAAACAGTAACATTTTTATACCTAATAAAACAGTAAAAATAAAAAAAACTAACTTATATCTTTCAGAAAACAACCATAATAATATTAAGATGCCAGAAAAAAATTCTGATTCTTCTGGAAACAATTATGATAATAAATATAACTCAGAATTCACAGAAAAAAATGATCAATCAAGTAAAGCGTTATCATATATAAAAAGAATTTTTAATAAGTTAAACGACACAGATATTGAAATAATTAAAAAATGGGAAAAAGAGAAGTGTTTATATATATGCAATTATAATATGTATGATGATTATTATTATATTTTAGGAAGTTTAGCTAAAAGCAATAAATTATTTAATATATATTACTATATTGATAAATTATCAAATCATTTTTATAAATATGAAAATTTGAATCATAATATCATTATAGACAACTATAATATAATTGATGACAATATAGTTTATGTGAATAGAGAAATTTTATATGTTTACAATAATATTATATTTGATAAAAATAGTGATATCATAGTATTAGTTAGTAGTGAAAGTGTTAATAAGGAGAATAAATATATATCTATGAATGAACAATATTATAATGATAAAATTAAAAAAAAAAATATAAATTTAAATTTATTTGAAGATTATAAAAGAAATTTAAAATTAAAAGACAAAGATAATGTACCATATGAAAAAAATATATACATGGATACTTATATTTATGATTTGAAAAAAAGTGAACATATTTTAGTTACAACAACAGATGAAAATGAAGAGAAAAGAAAAGAAGGAAAATTAAATGAAAGTAAAATTATAAAAAAAAATGATATTAAAGATTCTCCTAAAAATAGAAAATTAAAGAAAAATTTAAATGAAAAAGAAGCAAAATATAACGAGGAAAATTTTTATTACAGCAATATTTATGTAAAATGTGTTACAGATTTAGAAAGTTCTCAAAAACCTATTTATATTTATACAAATGATAAGATGAAAAATCATTATTTTAATGAATATACTAATTTCATTTTAAAAAAATGGAAAAAAAAAAGTTTTATATCCTTTTATTTTAAGAAGCCAATATTTTTATCTGAATTACAAAAACAAAAAAGAACAGATAACATAGATTTAACAAATCTAATAGATAATTATAAATTGCCATACGTTAATTTAGAAAATTTTAAATTATATATAGATGATATTGTATCTTATAAAAATAAAAATGTTTATCATATAAAACTTAATTCACCCAATAAAACTTTTTTTTCTTATCATAATCAAAATGATAGTCTTCCTTTTATTCAATATAATAATATAGTAAAATATTTATGCATTGATTTTTCAAAAATATAAAAAAAAAAAAAAAAAATTTGAAGAAAAATTTACATATATATATTATATGTTTCATAAAAATGTTACATATGAATTTTTTTTTTTTTTTTTTTTTTTTTTTTTTGTTTGTTAATTGAAATTATAAATTTTTTTTTGTATTTAAAAATATATAAGATAAACTATTTGCTAATTTTATTTTGAAAATATCTTTCTCTATTTTTACATAGATTATTAAGTTTTTTACATTTTTTTATAACTATTTTGAAAATTAGCATTTTTAAAATGTGATGAATTTTTTAAATTTAATTTTTAAAGATTACATGTATTTTTAAAATATATAATCATATTTATTTTAAAGAAAATTTTAAATTATCAAAGTGTATTAAATATATTTTATATAATAAAGGAAAAAAAACAATATGTAAGTTTGATAAATTATTATTTAACTAACATATTAAGTTATAATTATGGAGAAATAGCCTATTAAGTATCCTAAATAAATAAATTTTTTGTTTATAATAGAAGATAAATTATTTTTTTTTTATTATTAAATTCAATATCAATATCTATTCATCATTTCGTTTTGGATTTTTATATTATTCATAATAATATAATAAATTTCCTCATAATTATCTGTTTTAAAATAATTTTTTAGCTGTTCCTCATTTATGTTATCCTCATGAAATATCCTTTGAACTGTGAAAACAAAAAAGACATGAAATATATGAAATAAATAAATGATTAAAAAGTTACATATTTTCTATAAATAAATATATGAAATTTTTTATTTTATTTATACGATAATTTGTTATTTCATTTGGACTAATTAATGTATCATTAAAATCAACATTGTAAACTGGTAATTTCTGTTTTTTCTCCCAAGGCAAAAGTTCCAATTCACACACACATTTCAATATTGTCTTATCTCTACATAAAAATTGAATATTTATAAATATCTTTATCAAAATATATTGTAATTTTTGCTTTACCTTTGTAGAAAAATTATAACTACCAAGTGTGATAAAAAATCAGAAAGTAATATATAAAATCCAGGATGTAAATAATGTTTCTCTCCGAATCTTAAATAAAAAAAAAAAAAAAAAAAAATATTGTATGTTTTCATATAATATATTTATGAAAACAAAAATATTATTTTTTAAAAAAATTTCCTATTAATGAAAAAAGAAAATGTTAATTAGAAATTCATTGAATAAATTGTTTAAGCAACAATTATTACTCTTTTTTTTTATTAAAAAGAAAGGCTGGGATAATAATTAAGGCAGAATTAATTAATGATAGACATGCAATTAAAATAATTAATTTATTACAAAACTTTACATGTTTTACTGCAAAAGTCTCAGGATGTTCTCTAAAGTGAGAATATATAAGTAAACTTTTGACTATAATTAAATTTATCAGAATTACTATAAATACCTGATTAAAATGAATTATATCATAATATTCATATAAAAAATATATAACAAAATTAAAAATAAAATAAAAAAAAATTTAATGTTCAATTTATAACTACAGTATCATAATATCAAATTAAATATATTTTACTATTAAAAAATATTTTTTAAAAAAAGATAAAGAATGACAAAATAAATCACTTTTGTGTTGAGGTATCTTTGGATTTGGAGGATTAATTTCATCCTAAAAAATAAAATAGAAAAAAATAAAAAATTAAAATTATCTTGAACATTGTACTTAATATATATATATATATATATATATATATATATATATCTTTTTGAATACAAGCTTAAATATATAGAAGACATTTTTCACATTTTTTGGTAATTTTTTTTTCTCATTACCTTATTACAAATTTGACTTTCATATTCATCCCATCTTAAAAATTTTTCATTATAAGGATCTATAAAAAATATTCCATATCTTGTCTCAAAATCAAATTTTGCCTTAAAATAAAAAAAAAAAAAAAAAAAAGAGTAAATATATACAAAATATATATACATTATTTAATAAAAAGATAAAAATATTCCTTTCATATGAAAAAAATAAATTTACCACAAACAAAGGTAACATTAAAGACACTAAAATATAAACACCAGATGAACAAAAAGATATTAAAATTCTTATCCAACTGTTGAATTTATATGGATCCATTTATGTTTATACAAATATACATATAAGTTAGAAAAAAAAAAAAAATATTAAAATTAAAAACTATTTTTTAGCATATTTTATTCTTTTAGAAATATTCAAAGAACACAAAAAACAAAATTAAGATCTTTGGTTTTGTTTCATATATTCTACAGTATATATATATTTATAATAATAAGGAATTTTTTCTTATTTGATTTTTTAGAATATTTATTTTAAAATTTGAAAGTAAAATTATTTTATTATTAATCATTTTGATAAAGAACAATCGTTCAACTTTTAAATACAAAAAGAAAATTAATGTTCATAAATAATATTTTTTATTTACAAAAAATCATAAAAATAATTCTAAAATATTAAAATTATAAAAAGAGTTAAATTTCTTTTTTTTTTTTTTTTTTTTGTTGTGTGTTGTAAATTTGTCAAGTATGGAACTTATGCAACTGAAAAAAATAGATTCTTATTTTTATAAATTATTCAATAATGATGCAAAAAATTTATTTAAACTTTTTTTTTTTTATAAATATTATAATATTTTAATATTAAAAAAGAAATATTTAATTAATGTATAATGAATGCTGCTAACAATAAATATAGAAAGAAAAAAGACTTGTTATTTTATAATGTATTTGGAAAAAATTATATAGAAAGAAAATCATTGTTTTTATTTTAAATTAATAATATGTAAGTTTAAAATTTTTAAAAAACTTTAACATAATTAAATTGTGATAAAATTAATTTTTATATTCAGAATGAAAAAAAAAAAAAAAAAAAAAAATAATGAAATTATTTAAATTTTGATAGATGTTTATTTAAAAACAATATAAATATTTTATTTTAAAATTTCCTTTTTTTTTATTTTATTATTCTACAAAAAAGTATTAAGAAAGAATGAAATAAGAAATATATCAGTTTATTAAGACAAGTATACATGCATTTTTAAAAAAAAAGTTCAAAATATAAAATATATTTTTCTCTTAATTTGAATCAAAAATAAAAAAAAAAAAAAAAAAAATATAATGAAAATGAGTAATAATCATGTGAAATTAAAAAAAAAAAATAAAAAAATAATAATAAATAAGGTTTTAAAACATATATTAATGGTTAAATAATAAATGAAAAGAAATGTAATATAAAGTTAAATTATATGAAATATAATTAAATAGAAATAAATTAAAATTAATAATATCCTTTGAAGGTAGGGAAAAATATAAAATAGAATAAAATTATTCCTTTTAAATGATTGATATGCATGTATTTAATTAAAAAAAATAAAGAGTAAGATAAGACAATTTATTTAATTAAATATATCATCCATATTAGTCTCATTATATAGATGAACACATAAGACTAATTTATAGTTACCAAACAAAATGGGAATCATAGATATAAATATGTGTATATAAACATATGATAATAAATATAAAAAAAAAAAAAAAAAAATTTATTATTAAAAATATTTAGAGGTAATATATATCTTTACTAATTTTTTTTTTTTTTTTTTTTAACAAAGATGAAAAAATATATTTTAAGAGAGAAATCAAGCTAATAGATTAAAGAAAATGTATATATTAAATATATATAAGAAGTAAATTTTTCAGGAATAGAATATCGTTAGAGTATTAATATATATAAAAAAAGAAAAAAAAAATGACCAAATTACAAAATTATTTTTTCTCATTATCAAAAGAAAACAGCTATAAAGTTAAGAAAAGTTGTAGAAAAAAAAAAAAAGGATATATTCATAGATGTTCAAATATAAGAAAGTTCTTAAAGTATGATAAATGTAACAAATTAAAAAATTGTTATCAATATATAAATTTAAAAGAATTTTTAATATATAATTTCTCTGAAAATTATAAAAATAACAATAATAATAATGGAAACAGTATAAATAAAAATGAAGTTAATAAAAATAACCTGAACATATTCATAAATGATTTATTTAACAGTCATACTATTACGAGTATGTACATTTTTGAATATGTATCTTTAATTGGTTGGTCAAATGGAATTATTAGTATTTTTGATAAATATTTAAATAATATTTTGAACAAAAAAATTAGTGATTCTACAATTAAAAATATATCTATGAATAAAAAAGGAGATGCTATATGTTTTATGGATAATTTGCATAACTTATTTCTCATATATGTAAATATAAGGAACAATTTAAAAGAAAGTAACAATAATTTATTTTTTTATTCAAATAATTTAAACTGTAAGATAAATAAAAATAAAATTGACCAATTATATTATATTAATGAAGAGAAGTTCATGAACTTAAATGAAAGAGAGCAAAGTTTTATAAAAGCTTTTATATATAATAAAATAATCACTTATAATATAAAATATTTAAACAGTTGTGTAATTAATCCTTTTTTTGATAATTATCACAATAATAATGTTTGCATATTGTCATCAAATAAAATAGTTTCTATTTTACATATTTATGAATTTCACACAAATAATACAGTCTTATTTAAAGAACATAATATCTTAAATTTTTATTGGTATCATTGTTATATTTTTATATGCACGGAATACTCCATTTTTGTAATTAATTTTTTTGATAAAACTAAGGTGGCTCAAATTTTTTTAGATTCATATAATTATATAAAAACAGATCTCTCAAATGTTCAAATAAATAGGTCATACATCAATGAAAAGATAAGTAAAAATGAAGAAAATTACTTAAATGATACAATATATAATGATAAAAGAATAAAAGAACTTGATAATCCGCATGAACAACACAAATGCGATCATGTAAATAATAATTTAAATAAAGGAAAACTAGAATATGATTATATAAAAAGTGAATATAGTAATTTAGTTGATAATATGAGAAAAGAAAATAATTCATTTTTGGTTCATACATGTTCCATTCAAAAAAGTGTATATGTAATTGCTAAAGAGAAAAATATTAAAATTATAAAAATAGAAAAAATAAATGGAATAGAAAAAATAAACATTTTAAGAAGTTTTTATTTAGATCATTTTATATTAAGTATATGTGCTTTTCCTGATAATAATAACTTTGGTGAAAAAGGATTTTTTATATCAGTAATAATTTATAATGAAAAAATATTTAAGGAAAATGAGAAAAAACAAAAAATAAAGAACAATTTTTTAGAACATCAAATTCTAACAAATAAGAATTCTTTGATATATAAAAATTCTATTAAGATTAACAGAATAAATGATATATATAAAAATAATAGTATTTGTAATTATAATAGTAATAATTCTATAAATATCTATAATAACAAAGATAATTATGATTATTTTAAAAATTATTTAAGTATATTTCAATATACATCATTTAATAAAGATATTTTTGATAACACGATAAAAACAAAATCAAATAGTTTCAATGATTCTTCCTTATACATTTACGGTTACAACACATTTTTACAATTCCGCCCGAAAACTATTAAAGAATCATTTTTTGAGCTTATATTAGAAAATAAAAGAAACAGTAAAAGTATTTTCATTATTTTAAATGATTTAAAAAAGAATATAAATTATAAAAAAGAATTAAATGATATTGGTTTACTTTTAATTTTCTCCTTTTTTAAATTTAAAAAATACTTTCTTGCAACAAAAATATTTCTTACTTTGCATAAACATTTCTATAATAAAAAAAAAATTATATATGATATAATAAAAATATTTTTTCTTCATAAAAGGGTATATATTCTTTCATTATTTTACATAAAATTACAAAAAAAAAAAAAAGATTCAAAAAGAATGTATTACAGAATGAGAGGAAAATATAGAATGATAAAAAGAAAGAAAAAAAAAATAAAAAGCATTTTATATTTATATTATTTGACGAATAAATTATATGAAGATAAACCAAAAGAAAAAACGAAAGAAAAAATAAGAAAAAATAAAAAAAAAAAAAAAATTCTTTGTGTGCAAAATGAAACAAAAAGGAAAAAAAATTTTTCTTTTTTTATAACTAAAAAATTATTTAATAAATTTTTAGTTTTTCTATTATGCACTAATGTTTACCATTTTAAAAATATTTATGAAAATTCTTCTAATTGTGATTTAAATGCTAATTTATTATGTAAGCACATTATATTTTTGTTAAAAGATAATTTCAAATTTATAAATAAAAAATTTCAAATTATTTATAATTCATTTCGCTTTACTTTGCGTAACGAAAAAAAAAAAAATTATGACCCATCTAATGTATCTTACAAAAAAAGTGGAACAGAGAAAAAAATTTTATTAGATATTTTGTTAGATATATATTTTAAATTTAATATCTATCCATTTAATATATGCAATGAAAATAACTTAATTTTATTCAATGAACAAAATGAAAAATGTAAAAAAATTCGTACCATTAAAAATTTTTTAAATTATAAGTTCTTAAAAAAAAACCATTTAGCTGAAAAGGATTGTTATAGAAACTTTTTTCATCATGAATATAATAATAAAAAAAAAAATTCTAAAAACATGAAATATGTTTATAACGAAAAAACAGATTATATTAATGTGGAGAGAAATTCATATAACCTAAAAAAAAAAAATAAAAAGTTAATAGAAATTAAAAATAAAGAAAAAATTGAGAAAAAAGAAATAGTAAAAAATGAAGAAAATGTATCTCAAAATGAAATAATGTATAGTAATAATAGTCATAGTTATAATGATACTATCAATGGTAGTTTATATAACTATGCCTTTTTTAAAAATGAATGTAACGTCATAAAAAAAGTAGAGATATTAAAAATATTATTGGCAATGAAAAATGAAAAAGTTTTTATTTATTTAAAACAATGTGAATTTCAAGTATTTAAAGAAATAATAAATAAAAACATTATGAAGCTATGCAATTTGAACATTAAAAAAACAGTAAAATTGTTAATTATAAAAAAGGAAAACAAAAATGAATATTTTTTTGATCCCCATAAAATTGTAAAAAAATTAAAAAAAAATCCTTTTTTTTTATATAATTTTTTAAAGGAAATAGAAGATGTAAAATACATAAGTATTTATATTAATTTAATTTTATTTTTAATGTTTATTTTTGAACCATTGTTGTTAATGAATTTTTTAAAGATATATTATAAATATGTTAGTTTTAAAAAAATTTTATTCCTTATATCATTTTTTAATTATATATTTTCTAATTATAATTTTTTAAAAAATAAAAAAAATAGCTATTATGATAATAATGATAAAAAAAATAATGAAAAAATAGTAAATTGTACAAATAATAATCATTTAGAAGATACAAGTAATATTAATACTGAAATAAGTAGTAATGAAAATCAGATCAATCATATCTTATATAAAAAAGATAAATATATTAAAGAAAAAGAAAATATTTTGAATGAATCTCATTCTTTAATTAATATATATAATGGGAACATTGTAGAAAATCACAGTATACAAAAAAGTTTTGATAGTAGTAGATCATGTTTTATTTTTTTTAAAGATGAAAATGTTATGTTACTATATAAATATTTATTAAATGAGTATGTTCAAAAACAAAAATTGATAGAATTATTTAATTTAGTAAAAGGAGAGTCAATTAATTACAAAAACAAAATAAATTTTTTTCTTAATTTAAAAGCATTTATTTATTTAAAATTTGGTTATGTAAATAGGGCAATAAAAATTTATCTTAAATTGAGCAATTATTTACAAATATTTTTGATTATGAACTATCACAATTTAACTATTGATGAACGTGTTAAAAAAAAGATAAAGGATTATTTAAGTGCAAGATATTATGCTACTTCTTACTTTAGTCCGCAAAAAATATATTTAAATAAAAAGTGGAACAGTAGCCTCTTTTCTAAAAAACATACAATAAAAAAAGATGTGAATCTTTTTATAAAAGATGAATATTTCAGTTATATTGATAAAAATAAAGAAATTATGAAGTACAAAAATATAATTATTAAAAAGAAAAAATTTAATTTAAAAAAAAAATGTAATATAAATAAATTGAAACATAATATATATCATTATGGAAAAAATGTATACTTTTCAAGGAAGAAAAATAAGATACATTATAAGGATTCTTTTATAAAAATAAAAAAAGGGATAATTAAATCAACCGAAAAAAATGAAATAAAACCATATGGAATTTATAATATCTTTCATGATGAAATGAATAAAAATAAAGAAATGAAGTATGTTATAAATGAAAATTTAGAAAAATACATAATTAAAAATGTAAATAGCAATATTTTAGATAAAGAGATAATGTGTCAATTATATTCGGAAAAAAAAAAAAAAAAAAAAAAAAAAAATATGTATTTTAGTAAAAATAGACAAATATTCAAAAAAACTAACAATGAAATATATTATAAAAGAGATGGAAATCAATATTTAAATAAAAAAATAGTTATAAAAAATTATTTTATTGATAATATAAATTATGAAATGAATTATCTAACAATGATATATCTTCTAGAAGATCTAATATATAAAAATGAATTATACGACAATTATAATAAAATTTTAATAGATAAGAAAAAAAGTATATTTAATTTCTTAAATGAAATAAAAAAAAAAGGTTATTCAATATATAATGGAAAAGCAAAAAAAGAATTAAAAAAATATGAATTAAACTTATTAGACATAAATGACTATTATTTTTTAAATGAAGATTTAAAGGAATCAGATATGTTAGCTCCTTATTTTAGAAATGACAATCATTTTAAAAATAATGAAAAAATATATCATATACAGAAACAGATTCCTCCTAATTATTATTTATATGATCAAATGTATAGAAATCCTTTTATTTCAAATATTTCTTCTTTTTGCTCTTCTTGTTTAAATAATATATATATTGATTACTTCTATATTAATAAAAAAAAAATTAAAAATAATAACATTGTGTTTTTTTTTTGTAATCATGTATATCATTTAAATTGTTTAAAAAAGAAAAAAATAATCTGTAATATTTGCTACTAAGCACTTCCTTTTACTCATTTTTTTTCTTTCTTTTTTTTTTTTTTTTTATTAAATTATAAATTAAATTTTTTTATTTGTTTATATACTTTTTTTTTTTTTTTTTTTTTTT